CTACTTGATGCAAGACGGTGGCGGCGAGAAGCGTAGTCTTCGATAAGACTAGCTATCCCCCTCTTATTCTGGCATTCTGCAGTTCAGTCCACTGATATGGCCTCCTTACACATATACCCATGCATATGTAGTGTAGTTCCTTGCTTGCGAGTACTTTGGATGAGTACTCACGGTTGCTTTCTCCCCCCTTTTCCCCCCTTCCTTTCTTTCTGGTTGTCGCAACCAGATGCTGGAGTCCAGGAGCCAGACGCCACCGTTGACGACGACCCCTACTACACCGGAGGTGCCTACTACTACGTGCTGCCCGCTGACGACGACCTGGAGTAGTTTAGGAGGATCCCAGGCAGGAGGCCTGCGCCTCTTTCGATCTGTATCCCAGTTTGTGCTAGCCTTCTTAAGGCAAACTTGTTTAACTTATGTCTGTACTCAGATATTGTTGCTTCCGCTAACTCGCCTATGATCGAGCACTTGTATTCGAGCCCTCGAGGCCCCTGGCTTGTATTATGATGCTTGTATGGCTTATTTTATTTGTAGAGTTGTGTTGTGATATCTTCCCGTGAGTCCCTGATCTTGATCGTACACATTTGCGTGCATGATTAGTGTACGATTGAATCGGGGGCGTCACAACTGATCTTTTGACGGGACATATTCTTTCATTTCATATATGAACGCAATATTTAAAACTAAATTTGCACATAAGTTGATGGCCATGAACTGGGCCAAAGACCTTTCATAAATGTAACACATCACTTATAAAAAAATGTGTATCTCCATGAGATCATACTCTGCTACACAAGTATTAGCACATATGATCTTAGTGTTCGGACTCACTTATGAAGGTATCAAGAAGGACAAAGGGTCATCAATAAGTTTTACACCGAGTATGTTATATCTACAGGTCTACCACTCAGAAAAAAGAAGTTATTAGCGATGCAATCTTTTCTTCATCTCATGATATCAACAAGTAGCATCATTGACGATACATTTCCTCTCTGAAGAACAACAATGGTTTTTGGCAAAGAAGGAAAAAAAACATAACTATCCTGAGAAAGAAAGAGCAAAATTAAACACGTCAGAATGACGGCTATAATCAACATTACTTCAGGGCTGAACATTTCAAAATCCAACAAAGTATTGAACAAATGAAAATGCACACAAATACATTGGTAAGAGGTTAAATAAAACTTGCAGATATGCTATACCAATTCCAAATCAATTGATATTCAGTCTATCTAAGCAAAGCCCTGATATTCATATCCGTGAGGCAGTGGACAATATTGTTCAGAGAACAAGGATTTAATTCCGGACACAGATAACTTAAGACAACTCCACATGGTAAAGCTCTAGCAACAAGAGATAACAAAAGGGAACATATAAAAATTCAACAAATAACATGGAGAAGGCACAAGTTCACCTAGAATTGTGAATACTTCGGGTTAAAAAATTGCAAGCACTAATTGTTATGGTACTAATGAGGCAGGTAATTTCCGCATCAAACATGCTCGGCTATTGACATTAATAGTGTGATCAAAGAGAATATTTGCCTCCTGTGTGAGGCAAAGGAGACATAGTCTTAGGCCCCGTTCGATTCATGGGACTTGCTGCCATTCCAAAGGAAAATTTGCTTTTGTAGGTTTTCTTTCCTTTTAGCTGTTCGGTTCGAAGGAAAGGTACTCAACATTCCATCGGAAAGGATCGTCAGGTATGCAGATTTTACAGGAATGAACAAATCCACACGGGGCTCATTTTTGGGCGGAGCCCCGAGGAAGAGCAGAGGAAATAAAGTATTCAATCCTGTGGCCGTTCATGAGGTGTAAGAAGAGAACGACAAGTACAGTGCAAATAAAATATTGTATTAGCTACTATTCATTACTTGGTCTTCATGCGTTCTCTCTGGCCATCCGAATGCAAGCTCCGCTCTACATTGATACTTTCCCTTCTTTTTCCAGTTCCAAAGTTTTCAACTGTTCATTCAGTCCGATCCCTATGCAGTTTTCCTTTCCTACGCTTTTTGTACCTGCACTCCGGACGGAGCCTTAGATGATTGCTTGTACGGTTTCCCCCGCCTTGTGCAAACATAACACCCTTTCCTTTCTACTCGTACATGTTCTTCTCCCCTTGACGAAAAAGCAGAGCACCTCATAGTCCCTCATTAAGAATATAGAGTTGAGAACAAATCCGACGAATCATAGAGAAAAGCAGATCATGTACAGATGAATGCTTCAGTAGGTATCGGTCGTACCCAATTATGTAAGCCATTTTAATCTGGTTATCTCTTACAAATAATCAACCCTAATTCCTGTATACACAAGTGAGATTAGAAAATTCGGAGAAACGCCAGTGTCCTTGCACTGGATGTTATATAGGCATTAGCCAGTAGACAACCACAAATATGGGAGGAAAAAATAGTACCTGTTTTTTAGTATTTGGCATATGCCAGAAGCATGAATGGAGTGGAGGCGTCATCCCTCGATACCCTCCGAAGCTATGCCGCACCCCACACGAACTTATCCCTTCAACAATATCAAATTAATCAGTTATGCTACTTTTATTGATCTCAATATGGTCACTTGGAATTTGTGATAACAGAGCTTCATTTTTGATGAAATATTTGCTATGTATTTCTGATGTGTTAAGGTGGTGTTTTGTATTTTCTGAACCGTGACAATGTCTTGTTATTCGAGGTTCCAATCGAAATAACATACAAATTGCAATGGACACCGTCCTTTGCTGATGTACTTTTCACGGAAAAAATATTACATAGAGCAGGATATTTTGTATATCATACACTGGTCCTATCACAAGATGTGTGTAGACTAAACTTGAGATAGTACTCTTTTATCAAATCATATATATTGGAATAAAAAACTTAGAATGAGACCACCATTCACTATATCTCAATTGGTAAAATTCATGTGAACAACAATTTATAAACTTACAGCTACATGATTAGCTATCCAGATCTTGTGCAAATACCAAAGTGAGAAAGATGGAATCATAAAATGTGTACCAAGAGTGAACTTTCACTCAGCCTCACTTTAATTAGAGAGCATACCATACCAGAACTGTGTTATAGATGCTTTGCTAACCTGAAACTAAACTACAGACGGGTAAGATGTGGAAAGAATGGAGAGGAGGAGGGAGGGAGAAGAATAATATATCTTTATCTTTTTCTATATCACAGAACTGAACTTGTAACAATATTAGTCAATTAAAGGATTCACTTCATGAAAATACAAAAGGTAAATTGATATATACAAGCACGCTTATTATTGAGGAAGACCATATCAAACTCTGCACAGCTACTCGCTGCACCATGTCAATCAGCCAACAACCTGCCCTAGCTCGGTTATCATCATCGTGCATGCATCATAGAGGCTAAATCTTTTAGGCAATACAAACATATAAAATTACTGTATAGCATAGATTATGGTGGGCCAGAACTGAAATGAAAAATATAAACATGATCAAAAAGAAGAACTAAGGGCACCAATAAATAGCAAAATGGGAAGTTGGCACCAATCTGTAGTACATGACCTAGAAAATTGTTTATGGTAAAAATCAAAACTTTTAAAAGAACACAAAATAAGGAGTATAGTAAAGCAATGTCTAGACTGAATTGAAGTAAATTTACCATGCAACCGTCTTGACATCAGGTCGAACAGTTGGTGGGCGTCGAAGTAGTCCGTCGTTGCTGCCATCGTACTCCGGCATATGGAGGTCTGCGGCTATAGTGGGGGCGGGGGCGTGCGCGTGCAAGACGTACCGGTGGATGCGGAGGGCGCCAATGACTTGCAGCCGTCTTGACATCAGGTCGAACAATTGGTGGGCGTCGAAGTAGTCCGTTGTTGCTGCCATCGTACTCCGGCATGTGGAGGTCCGCCGGCTGT